AAAAAAACACCAAAAAAACAATAGACAACCAATAGGAAACCAATAAAACCCAATTCAAACCAATAGGAAGCCTAGAAACCAATAAAAACCAATAGAAAAACAATTGAAAACCAACAAAATCCAACAGAAAACCAATTGAAACCAATAGAGAACCTAGAAAACCAAGAAAAACCAATAAAACCAATGGAAAACCAATAGGAAAAATAGAAAACAAATAAAAACCAATAAAGACAACTAAAAAACAATAAAAAACAATAGAATTATTGGTTTTCTATTGGTTTTCTGTTGGTTTTCTATTTATCTATTGGCTTTCTATTTGTTTTATGGGTTTTTCTTGGTTTTCGAGGTTTCCTGTTGGTTTTAATTGGTTTTCTATTGGGTTTTATTGGTTATCTTTGGTTTTCTATTGTTGTCTATGTATCACTTCTAAATCACTGATCCTTATACTACCCCGAGATCCCTGGCTCTATCACTAACTACCCCCCCCCCCTTATCAGACCTCCCTAAACTCCAGAGATCTCAAAAGATTGCCTTGAGAAGGAGCCTGATGATCTCTCTACAACAACCCAACCGACTATTCAGAGAGAAATATTGAGAACATCCCTCGATTAAAAAGCAAAACTCCGAGCGCCCGAACCTGCACCTGAAGAGAGGGGTTCGTTCGTCTTTTTGCTGTTTTTCTTTTTTCGAGAAATGTTAGGTTCCCCCTTTCGTGTGTCGAATACGCCAGAGCGTCTTTTTGTCCTTTTAGTGTTGGCGACGCAGCGAATCGGGCGCAGGGAAAAGCCAAGCTGCCCCCCCACAAGAGGCTCGACCAGTCTTCCTGTGAGTAGAACGTCTTGGAAAAGACCTGAACGCTAGACCTCATTGCTAGAGTACTGGCGTTGAACTGGTCTTGGTATCCCAGAATCTTCCACCCCCACCCCGCCCCCCCGCCGTGGCCAGACCCCAAACCGTAGTAGCCTAGCACAGAACCGAAGTATCTTAGTACTAAGTCGTCAAGGTCTTCCCTGATGTTTGGTATCCTGGAACAGTCGTTTTGCGGCTGCATACACACAGCATGCTGTACTAGATTCTTACCTTTCGCAAACTTGCTCTCTCATCGTTGACTCTACTTCTCACTCGAGTCCAGAATAGAAAATAATAGGTCACAGCACATGCTACGGCATAAAATGCTTGTACCCTGACGTAGCTACTGTCATCTGGTGGTTGTCGGACATGTGGGATACATCATTGTCGTCTCACGCATCCACTGTTTTGGCCGGGAGCTGTAGCTAATCACCAGTACCCGTACTCTGCTCAGGTCGCAAAGCACCAGCTACAAGTGAGGTTCCCGGGCTTTAAAACGCACCAGTGCAGGCCTGCGGTGTGTGGACTGTACACAAGTCTGTACAATGATTCCAGCAGTGTTGGGTGATCATGCGTCCTGATGGAGGTCATAAACAGACATCTCCGAAGATGCGTCCAATCCACGCGACCGGGCGTCACGCAAAAAGCCGAGAAGCCAGCCGCCTGCGAACGACAGGATAGCAAGCAATCCCAAGGAAGCCCCAATCGCAAAGGGCAACATGGAGTGCGAATCCAGCCGCCAAGGTTTCTGCACGGATCCTTGGTGGTTTGCATCCATGCCTGGAGCTGTGGTGAAAGGCCGGTCGGTCACAGCAGTGGTCGCTGGGGTTGATGGCAAGGAAGGCTCGCTCGAGGGCTGAGAAGCGAGGACCTGGACATGTGGGGCGAGGTCCTGGACATCCGGGGTGCGCAGGGGGCCCGGCTTCGGACCTCGACTCTGCTTGACTTCATGCCTGCTTGTGTGCAGTGAGTGTAGCGCAGCTGCCTTGTCCAGGATGGCAAGGGTGAGGTTGCCAAGTGTCAAAGCTGCATCGACCACATCACGGAAGGACAGCGTGCCACTGGTCTCGTGAGTCTCGTCGCATTGTGAAGGTGCATGGACGAGGCCCGAACAGGCTGCACGGAAAACCTGGTCTGGGCTTGGGTCGCCTGCAAAACGCCATCCGTTCACACGAATGGCGCTCGGAGACCAGGCCTGCTCCTCCAGTTGCTGGCGCAACACCACCTCCGTCCTTGCCAAAGCACCTGGGGACTACAGAATTGGCAAAGACACAAGCTTCGAGAGCCCGCACCCCACAGCTTCCATTCTACCGGAGACCATACTGTACCATACTTTACAAAGGTTCAAACATGATCACAGCCCAGGCACAACGGCGAACAGAATCTGCATCGATTCCCAGTTCGCGCATGAGCCCGAATGAACACATCTCCCCGAACATTGTGTCTCCGAACGTGGTGTCCCTCCACCGGGTGCCCAACAGGCACCTTGCTGCAAATCTCTCCATGTAATCCCAGTACTTCGCCTAAGCTGCCCGGATGAAACGCTCGAATTCTGCTACTGCTACTGCTGCTGCTACTACTCTACTGCTACGACTGCTACGACTGCTACTACTGCTGCTACTCCTACTCCTACTCCTACTCCTACTCCTACTCCTACTCCTACTCCTACTCCTACTCCTACTCCTACTACTACTACTACTACTACTACTACTACTACTACTACTACTACTACTACTACTACTACTACTACTACTACTACTACTACTACTACTCCGACGACGACGACTACTACGCTGCATGTTTACTACGCAGTTTGCATTACAACATACTATTTGGTATACGACTTAGTACTTCTACTCTCTAGTATACTCTACTCACACCACGGGTGTCTATGGAATCCAAGGCACTGCATACTGGGATGGTCGCTGTGATCTTGGAGCCTGCCAAACACGTACATCTGGTTGCGCGGGTTTGGGGCTAGTGACACTAGGGTTTATGGGGAAGGGCCGGGAAAGGCTGGAGAGCTCAAGGGCCATGCAAGCCTCTAGTGTCAGTGACTGGAGCACTGCGGGTTTGATGCATTTGAAACGTCTTACGATTCTTACGGCTCAACACCTTTCAAAAGTCTAGAGTATTCTAATAGTACAGAGCCGGGATAGAGTGTGTGCATGTGCGTGTGTGTGCGTGAAGTCTCGATATAGTCCAGTTCAGCAAGTTTCCCAATGCCCCGAGGTTTTGAAGCATGGGCTCCTGGGTCATCTCGTGCAGGCAAAATTGCCGCACATCCTCCTCCAAGACTTCCCTGCCGCTCACATGCCCTCCATCTGCCTCCTCCGCATTTTGAGCGACTCGGAAAGATGGCTTAGGGTTTAGGGTTGCGTGCTTGGAGAGCCGGCTCATGGTGCTAGACTGAAGAAGAGCATTTACCGAGTATAGAGTGTAGAGGATGTCCAGCAGCTGCAGAACCCTCGCAAATACTGAGATGCTGGACTTCAGCTGTTGGGTAAGCATCGCAACATGTGCCTTTGCATACAAAAACGTACTCGAGTATAAGGTAGTCTAGTTCGTCTCTCTGTATATGTACGCACACTCCTTGTCTACGCATAGTCCCTGTTTCTGTATGGGCATAACATCCACTATGCTTTCGGGACATCCTAGATACTAGATACTTGATACAAGACATTGTCTATCCTATTTACTGTAGACAAAATTCTCTTTATACACTAGTTCATACTACTTGCAAGGCGTCTCCTCGGCACAGTAGGCATGTTCCTTGTCCCAGCAGCTGCGGGAGGAGTTGCCGCCAGTCTCCAAGCTGAAGATGGCATAGTGCGGCTTGAAGATCATGAACTGCGTAGTCTGCTACTCTATGATGTCTAGTATTCAGTATACTCCTCTATGTGGCGTATAGTATAGTATAATTAGTATAGATTGATCGTCAGATATGTTGAACCTTGAAATCACGCGCGGGGGGGGGGGGGGTTCAAGTGCTCCGCTCCGCCCCGGCACCTCATTGAGCACCCTCCGCTTGGCGGCAAAGTCGCTCATGAATTGCATGTTCCTGAACGGCTGAAACATGAGGGTGCTTCTCAAAAAAAACCTCTACACAAGTCCTTTAAGCGGGACCCTCTAGATGGGAGTTTCTCAAAAAGGACGGCCTAACTGGGACTCCAAGGGATGTGGCTGACTATAAGGGGGTAAAAGGGGTCCTTTACGGCATTATATAGGAATGTGAGAGCCACGTGACCCTACACTTCTAAACCCTAGGCCGCTCCATGGTTCAGTGAGTTGGAGGACATATATGAGTACTTTTCTATACGATGTAGTATACTATATTAATCTACATACACAAAAGTATACTTTTGACTATATAACATATACTCTTCAATATTCTGTTTTAGTAGGTGCAAGACTATACTGGTGTACAGGGCTTCAGGCAACGAAAGAGGATTTGCCATGCCTAAGTTTTCAGGATTCTCGAAGAGTGCCTAGAAAGCTTGGAGGCCCAACGAGCTATAATTGTGGTGGAAGATACACCGTACTAGTTCGGCCTAGATGTATATAGTATACTACACACCACTGCCCCTAGGAGTTTCTCAATATTCTCCTCAGACCATCTCTTTTAGGGACCAGCGGAATCCCCTGAAAATGCCTCTGTACCCCCCTCCCATTTTGAGAAACTCCCATCTAGTAAATGTTCAGGGACGGAAGCCCTTAAAATACGATAGTACAACTAGACACTATACAGAACATTCTGATACTCTACAATACTATACGATACTACCACGAGACCATGCTCTTCTCTCTATGGCATATGCGCTTCTTACAGCCATCACGGCCGAGGCCGGTTCTTACTTCACAAGCCCCTCCCTTCTGTGTAGGCTCGGCCGGGAGCCTGAACTCATCCACATGTCCAGCTGGACCACGTTGTCGGTTGGCAGGCTCCATGCGAGCTGGAGGATTACCTCGCCGTACCTTGCCGGTTCTGAGGGGCAATCTGCCGGCTGTTCTATACTCACGAAAGCTGCAGGACATAGTCAGGGTTATGAACAGGCCCGGCTCACAAAGTACAAGTTGCTTACACAAGGTCTTTCGAGATACTCCGCAGCGTTGAGGAGTTGCTCTCCATCTTTCCGCGAGATGAGGATGGACGGGGTTGTGATGCCGGCGCCGTTGCCGTCGTCGCCCAGGATGATGCTTGAGAGGTCTTCAGCCTTCCAGTGGCTCCGACAAGTGCTGTGTCTCATGGCCATAACCATGCTTCTATATATTGCAATGTAGTACACTAAGTCACTGAGCCACTATAACAACTCCAATTCCTTGCCCCAAGCAACGCTTCTCTAACTTCCCTGCCAGCACTGAGCCCTTTCATTTTTGCAACCAAAAACAGGGTGTGGGCTCTAAGGACTCTAAGGGCTTAAGGGTTTAAGGGGTCCCCCCCCCACGCCTGCAAGTTGGACTCTTTCCGATCGACGAAGAGAACGGCATGCGCGCCCTTTGCCTCGGCAACCCGCACCTCAGAGCAGAACAGGGGCGAGCAGCCCCTTAAAGGGAAGAACGCATATAGGCTTTGGGGTTTTTAGAGTTTAGGGGCGGAACAGCAGTAGTGCCAGAAAGGGGGAGAACGTAAAAGGGTTCAGGGGCTTAGGCTGCGGGGGGTTTGCATGGGATTTTAGGGGCTTGGGGGCTGGGTATGCTCAGGTAAACTCCTGACAAGGGGCTTCATAGGGCTTGGGTTTAGGGTTTGAGGTTTAGGGGCTATATAAGGATTGATTGGGGTTTAGGGTTATAGGGATTAGGGAGTCGTCTTACTCGTGTCAGTTAGAAGGAAATAAACACGATGGTAGGCTTTGAAGGGCACGCCGCCGCCGGTCTTCAAGATGTCAGGATTGTTTTAACCAATAGTATACTAGGTGCTGCACTCTACTCTACTGTCCTGAAATTCTCCTATCTACCTACTTCATATCATACAATATGCTATATACTACACACCCTATACTATACTACACACCAAACCTGGAGATTGACAATGCTCGCGCGCGAAACGCGCGTCCCGTTGCCGAAAACCGCGCTCGCCGAGGAAGCGCACCAAACTCAAGGTGTCTCACGGTATCCACGTCGCGCTCGACGACCGTCACGAAGGAAACTCGTCTCCATGCACTAAACCTCTAGGCTCCGTGCGACACATTGCTATCGACGACCCTTGTGCATGAAACGCATCTCCGTCCACGCCCCTGTGAAACGCGCCAAGTGCTCGTGCGCACATCGAGCCTCAACATCGACGACCGTCTTGCGCTATGCCGGCAGACCTTGCGCCACACCCGACACGCGGCAGGATGTAAACCTTTTCTCAGAAAAACTCAAACCCAGAAAAGGCCCAGCTACACCAGCATGCTGTCATGAACTATTGTATACTTCATCTTACTATAGTCTGAACCTAGCCTCCTCTAGTCTATAGAGGTGCATCATATCATACGATCTACTACTGCAGCCTCAGTGAATTATACGACATTATATTCAACTACGGTATATCATACCCAACAGCAGTAAACCCCCCAAAAGCCACCTTGGTGGTGAACGAGCACTTCCCTCTCTCGACCATGACGATGTTCAGGAGCTGTGCCCCCAGTTTTGCATCCTGGGCGGAGATGAACTGTTCCAAGAATGGGGGTTCAGGGCTAGGGCTTAAGGGTTAAGGGTTAAGGGTTAGGATTTAAGAACAAGGGTTTAGGGTTGGGTTGGGGGTTTAGGGTCATTTGGTGCCTGGTTCCAGGACATTGGGTTTGTAGAGGGGGTTCAAGGAAACCCCACACCCTGAACCCAGAACACGTCTTCGATCCAGTGTTGCTCAACTTCAAGACCTGGGATTCCCTATTGTCAGAAGCGTTTTGACGTCCGCCACAAGCAACAAGATACGTGTTTGGGGTCGAGGGTCCCTGGAGCCAATGCAGAAACCCCAAACCCTGACCGTGTTAAGAAGGCCAGGGAGGGCCGGATGAGGATGAGCAAGATGAGCGCAGCTTGTAATCCAACTTTTTATGCAATTGGAATACCTTGTACTCTGATAAATTGCAAGTTCGATGGTGAACCCCCTATAGCCCCGCTCCGCCCCACCCCTCTTCAACAAGTGTGAAGCTTGGCAAACCTCTCAGGTGTGTGTTGTTGGCTGGGGGGAAAGGGTTGACGGGCACCCCGCCCATCCCTTCCCTCCCCCCCCCTCCCTGCGCTACAAAAGAAAGCAAACTCGGACGTCGTGGGTCTGCGGTCTGAGCCCAAGGCACTTAAATTTGGAGGGTGTAGGGGATTAGGAGTGGCACCCGTGCCACTACCTCACGGGAAGCCCCCCCCTGGACCCTCTGAACCCAAGAACACCCATGAGTCCGAAAGAAATGAGCCTCCAGCTTCCCAGCTTCCCAGCTTCCCCTGACCAAGGCACTGGGATGATGTAGTCCTCCATGGTGCAGTGGGCAGCACCTGTGAGGGACTTGCCGTAGACAAGCCTGCCCACGACCTCGCGGTCAGGAGTTTTACCTTCGGGACTGCCGCTTTTTATGGTATACTATCATCAACAATAGAATACTATCGTATGCGATTCTATACTGTTGTGTACTGTAGACTACTGCAGCCTACACCCGTGCACGATGGGTTTGGGCTTTGAAGATTTTCGGCAATACAATTTATCAGGCTATGCTGTAGAGCTCGAGAAACACCGTTCTAGTTCAGGACAGTATCGTCGCTGGTTAGTCTGGCATGTCCAGCACAATGTGCTAGACCAGAAGCTTCGGCGCCCCCCAAACAAAAACGGGTATGAAACAAGCAAGGTTGCAGTGTCGCCGTAGTACGGGGCCCCGAACATTGCAGTGGTACCAAGAAGTCTGCCATCGGTGAATTTGGAAGCCAGCCATTTGGGCGACAGGACCTTGATCTGGCAGCTAACGAGCCTCGGTCTCAAGGAGGTCACGTTTGGAGTTAAGGGTTTGTGTCATTATTTCTTGATTTTTAACAGTAGAGTCTACTGGAATTATAGAGGGACGGTAAGGGACATACCATTTGTAGTTCTTGAGGCTTCCGCATTTTAGCAGCCACTCCCGCCACCATGATTGTGGCATTTTGCTCTCACGCTGACGATGCTAAACTGAAGCGCATACGGTCTGATCCAACCTGGCCCCACACCTTTCCCTCAACCCTAAATCCTACTGTGTTCGCCTTGAATCGAAGGTACCCCTATACCCAAAAGGACCTTAGTCTGATTTTGACCGGAGGAATGGTATTAAACTTGGAGAATTGGAGCTTGTTTTGATTCCTTCCGCTGCCCCTTATGTGCGCCAGTGCACCAGCATTCCCCCCCCCCCCTTCCATGGGCATCCCTTCCCCTGTGGCTCATGGTGGTTCATGGCATTTTTTGCGCGCGGCGGCTTGAAGCTGTTTCAGGTTCAGAGTTTAGGGTAAGGCTTTAGGGACTTTAGGGTCCAGGATTTTCACTCTGCCCCCCGTGGTTCATGGTGGGTGGGTTTGGGGTTTAGGGTTTAAGGTTATGTTGAGGGTTTAGTGTTTCTCCGCTCCCTCCGGGATTTAGGGGCTCACTGACATAGAAACGAATACGAATCGAGATATATATATATATGTATATTTTAGAATGCCTTTGGGGTACGCACACACACACACACACACACACACACACACACATAGACACACACCCTAAAGGGGTCCCCCACAGAACTAGTCAAGTATGCAGTATATTATACTGCATACCTTCGTAGACTCTGGTGAAATACACCCAAACCCCTGAACCCCTAAACCCTAGTCCCGAACAGAACAAGATGTCTGGGCCAGGTGGCTGGGTCCAGGCGAGCCCAAGAAGCCATGGCAGCCACCATGTTCCCAGCATTTTAACACAGCACACCATATACAAGACAGTAGACCAGCAACATTTTTTTGAGGGGATTAGGATTTGGGGTTTTAGGGTATCAGGTTTAGGGTTTAAGGTTCTTTTGTACACCGTAGTATATTGTAGTATGCTATCCTGTACTGCAGGGACGGCGTGGAGCCGAAATTGAACTGAACCGAACTGCAACGGAACCGAACGGGTGGAACCCCACGAGCCGAACAGGAAAGAAAACCGAACCGAACAAACATTCCAAATGAGGGTGTGTTTTCCCCCTGGCGCCAAATTTGCACAAACACACAGGACAGTCCCTGGGGCATCGAGGCTGCAGGGTGGGTTTCCCGGCCCCCGGGAAATGCACAAGGAGGCAACATAGCCCCTAGTGCTAATTAAGTGAGCGTGCCCTTTCCCGGGCCCCAGAAAAGCGCCTTGCGTCCCCATATACTATCTCAGAGAAGCCTTCCAGAACTGGTGTACTCCAAACGCACGGTATGCTGTCAGCGTATCTCCCATTGGGATGCAAAACAAGGCTTGCACTGGTCCCTGGACACTCAATAACCTTGGACCACAAAGACCACAAGACCCCTCACTGAGCACTCCACTCCGGCACTCCAGGACCAATCCATAGCCACTCCAAAACTGCCCCAATCCCACTCCAAATGAACATCTAGCTAGGAGCTCTCTAACAGCACTAAACCGCACCACTCCAAAAAACAGTCCCTCACCTTCGGCAAAACAAACAAACGGACAAACAAAACAAAAGCTGAATGCAGGGATGAGCTTGCACATGCGAAGTTCGTTCGAACAGGACCGCCCACTTTGGAACTTCAGCTTCTGGAGGAGAAACAAAACCCACCCAACAAGCACGCCAACCCCAAAACCTGAGGCGCAGGCTTCCGCAGGGATGCTTTTCGGGGGCCGGCGGATCTTTGAAGCACAAATGCGGTGTGGAGGTTTGGGGTATGGGGCGAGGTCACAGCTTCCGGTTTGGAGCTTGGGTCCCGTTCAGTCTAGGAGTTCGCTGAATCGTATGGATGAACCCGTGCTGTGGGCCGAAAGGCTCAGCATCCGTACCTACTTCAGCAAAGAAAGACAGCTTCGGGCAAATGCTTCGCGGACGAATCTGTTACCGGTAACATTTCCGGGTCCCTCGCGGGGCATCTGGGAAAAACATGCAAACCCACCCCGAAGTGGCATCTATTCGGACTGAGCCGTCAGTATAAAAAGCCGAACAAGCGAATCATGGAGCTCCAGAATGACGCTGTAGACCCCACTTTAATACTCCAGGGTTTAGGGTTTAGGGTTTAGGGTTTAGGGTTTAGGGTTTAGGGTTTAGGGTTTAGGGTTTAGGGCTTAGGGTTTAGGGTTTAGGGCTTAGGGCTTAGGGCCTAGGGTTTAGGGTGGCCAACCCTCCAGGTGGCGCCATGAGCAGTTTCACGAATATCTCTGTAGTTGCAGAGCAGGAGCATGGGTCGAGGGGCCGAGGCTCCACCCCTCCCTGCCACTCCAAAGCAGCTTCGGGCTTGGGGTTTAGGGTTTTGAGGGTTTTGGGGTTTAGGGCTTAGGGTTTAGGGTTGAGGGTTTGGGGTTTAGGGTTGAGGGTTCAGGGTTTAGGGGGCACAGGGCTTAGGATGCTTAGGGGTGACCTCATGGGATTCTGCCTCGGACTCGGGCCCCCCAGGTTGCATCTTTGGATCTGAGAGCCCTTGGAAACCATCCTTTGGGGATTCATGGGGGGCCAGATTCGGAGCAAAAACGCCGGAACACCCTATATGTCAAAGATAGGGTCAATCTAAAGCTAACTGAAAAGCTGGGACACTCCGCACTTTTCCCGGGTTCGCTGCGGTGTGTGTCCTTGTTCGAGCCTGTCGTCGACAAGACGTTCCGAGGCTCTGGTGTGCATTCCACATGCACCTGGTGCACAGCTTCCTGTACTGCGTAGATGTTTAACACCCCGCCTTCGAAGCTGGTGAAAGTCGTTCCTAGACTAAGCTAGCTTCGACTGTCGTGGGCTAAGTTGATTACTCGGATCATTTTCCTTTAGTCAACAAAAGCGAAAACAAAGTTCCTGAAAGTTGCCAGTAGAACGGATACTCCATCCTTTGTTCTGGCTTCCTTCTCATCTTGAAACTCACTCCTCACTGCTCGACTGAGCGCTGCTGATCCTTCCTCTGCTTTTCCTTGCTTCTCTTCTCCTTCGCTTCTTTTCCTTCCTTCATCCTTTCACTTGCTTCTCCTGTTCCTTGCAGATCCTTCCTCCATCTTCATCTTCGCTGTCCTTGATCCACAAGTTCTGGTTCACGTCGTAGTAGAGCCATGCCTTTGTGGCCTGCACCCATTTCCACTGGAAATCTGATCCTTCGTAAGGAAAGATCGCATACAGTTCCTGAGCTCCTTCACTTCCTCCAACTCTGAATTGGCTTCGATCCTGTGGGCCAATCGCCTTGTCCTTCTTCTTTCCTTCTCCTGTGCTTCCTTCACTGTCTGTGGCCTTCTTGAGCTCTTCCTGAAGCGAGACGATCTTCCTTTTGTCTGAAGCTTGCTGTTCCTTCATTCCTCTGACCAACTCACGAAGCTGGGCCATCTCAATCCTCAAACTTTCATTTTCATCTTCCTTTCCTTCTCTTGTTGCTGGCTCTTGCTTCTTCCTCTCTGCTTCTGCTGCTGCTGCCTCTCGTCTCTTCCTTTCTGCTTCTGCCGCTGCTGCTGCCTCTCGTCTCTTCCTGTCCTTTTCCTCTGCTGCTGCTGCTGCCTGCCTTTTCTTCCTTTCCTCTTCTGCTGCGGCTTCCTGCTTCTTCCTTTCTTCTTCTGCTGCGGCTTCCTGCTTCTTTCTCTCCTCTGCTGCTGCTGCTTCCTGCTTCTTCCTTCCTTCTTCTGCTGCTGCTTCCTGCTTCTTCCTTTCCTCTTCTGCTGTGGCTTCCTGTCTTTTCCTTTCCTCTTCTGCTTCTTCCTTCTCCTTCCTGGCTTTCTCCTCGGCTTTCCTCTTCCTGATTCTTTCTCGCCTTTCGCGTTCCTTCTGCCACTTCTTCTCATCCTTCTCTACCTGCTTCTCTGCTTCCTGCGTGGCTCCTTCTTCCTGTGGTGTAACTCCTGCTGCTTCAGCGACTGCTGCGCTTGCCTGCTTGTCAGAGCTGCTGCTCGCTCCTGTGGCTGTGTTCTTGGTGCTTCCTTTTCCTGGTCCTTTTCCTTTTCCTTCCTTTCCTTTCTGGTACTTGTAGACGTAGTCGACGCCAACTTCGACCTTCTCGCCCGTGATCCTGTGCTGCTTGTACACCTTGCCATTCTCCACGTAGATCTTGTACTCGGTGTCGTCGTAGGGGTACGCAAAACCTTTTTCCTTTTCCTTCTCCTCTTCTTCTCTTTTCCTCAGCTCCTCATTCACTTTCCTGATCTTCTCTTTCCTCTCCTTTTCCTTCCTCTTTTCCTCCTGCGTTGATGTAGTAGACGCCGACGAAGATCTTGGTGTGATAGAACTCGATCCTTCTTCTTCTTTACTTCCTTCTTCTCCTCGACCATGTCCTGTTCTTCGTAGCTCTCTTTCCATCTCTGCTCCTCTTTCTTCTTCTTGAAGCTTCCACCAAATCATTCCTTTGATCTCTTCTTCTTCCTTCTCGTACTCGGCGATCTTGGTCTCCAAAGCTTCTATCCTTTCCTTCAAGTGCCTGAGCAACTCCACATCTCGCAGGTGTTGGTCCTCAATCTGTTCCTTGAGGTTTGCCTGTTCGCGACGCTGTTCTCTGAGCAACACGTTCGTGGTTCCTTGGGCTTCTTTCAACTGATTCAACTGAGAGGTGAGCTCTCTGAACCAACGTTCCTTCTCGGAGGCACTCGGTTCCATAGCTGCTACTTCCTTCTCTACAGCTACTGTCTCTTCCTTTTCAGGGTTCCTAAAACAGAGGTCCTTCACTCGAGGCATCGAGCTGCAAATGTTTCCTACTTCAAGCTGTTCCTGCAATCCTAATGCACATGCACTCGTGTCACTGCACATGCCGACATGTTCCTGCACAGTTCCTACACATGTACTGCACGACTGCAAAAGACATGTTCCTGAAGCTACTTCAACCTTTGAGCAACCTTCCAAACTTCCTGAAAGCAAAGAGAAAAACAAAGCTGCAAATGCGAAGTTTCCTTTGGACTTGATTCTCTTGACTGTGGCCTTAGCTTGTTCCTGCTGTCGATGTTCTTGAAGCTCTTCAATTCCTACTGGTTGGTTTTGTTCGTCCTTGAAGCCTAGCCAATGCATCAACAACTTAATGCGTTTTCCTGAAAGCGGCTTAGTTCCTATATCAGCAGTGTTATCCCTGGTACCTACCGGGTGGACACTAAGAATTCCTTGTTTGTGGAGGTCCTGGAGAAAGAGGGTCCTAATCTGCAAATGTTTCACTCTTCCTACTCCCTGCCTGGTAATGATACCACGAGCAGCGGAAGAATCTAGATGCAAATGCACTACGCATTTCCTACAGGTGAGGAATTCTATCGCTTCCTTGAGCAACAAAGAGTCACTAGCTGAACTAGCTGCGGCGTAATATTCTGCCTCTCCAGAAGACAGAGAAATACTCCTTTGGGTCCTAGAGAATGCATAGATCAGTTGAGAATCCAGAAACACAGTTCCTGAACTTGTGCTGCGACGACTGTCTTTCTGTCCTGCCCAATCTGAATCGGAGTATACCTCCAACAAGTGATGTTCCTTGGGTTTGACTTGGGAAAAGTCATAGGTTCCGTTACGAATGCTCTCGTTGAGGTTTGACATTCCTCGCGGTGTTTTCCTATACGTGCAATGGTAACCATCTGTCTTTGTCATGTACTGCACAACATGAATCAACTGCTTCTTAGCTGCAAATGTTGGCAATGACATCTTGGACGCTAAACCTCTTACTGCGAACTGCAGATCCGGCCTGTCCTGACAAACATATAGGAGGATTCCTACACACTTCCTAAACGAAGCTGCTTGTTCCTGGTCAAGAGGGTTTGTGTTGTCTA